TCATGGATTTGATATTCACACACTCATTTTTACTTCTCACACACTTTTTTAATTTTCGACTGTCAGATCGAATGAATTGAAAAAGATCAAAAGACAAAAATTAATAAGAGATGGGTGAGAAGTAAAAAGGGGTTTGTGGATAGCACACCCTTTATTCATATGTCAATGCTTGGGAGACTTAATTTTTAAACTAAATTTGCAAACAAAATCATGCGTCACTAATAAGGTATAAGCACGTTAATCAATGCTTATGTAATAATCCAATCATTAACATCTACATCATTTTATTTACAAAACTTGGTTTAGAAATTTGGTCTCCCTAATATTACTCTTATTCATATTATAGTTAGTAAATTTGTGTATAATACGTGTGCTAATGATTCGTAGATTATATGTTTTTTTTTAATTCTGTAGTACGATACAGTGTAATACACATACATAAATATTTTTCACGTTAAAAACACGTGTTGTGAAATTGAAAATATGTGTACAGTGGAATATAAAGTAAATAAGACACAATATTTACGATGTTCGATAAGTGTGCCTACATCCTCGGGATAGCAGTAGTAATTTCTCTCATTATCTGAAATAATAGAAGTACAAAGTAATTCTCACTATTTTTCTCTCTATCTCTCTAGCCTTTTTTTTCTCTCCTCTATTTCTTTTCTTTCTTCCGTATCTTCTCTTCTATTACTATTACATTTGTAAGCTAGTAGGCCATTATATAGAAATTGTAAGATGTGCTGCTTAGGAGGGTTTGATAAAAATCCTTAAAATTGTGTGCATCTCCACCCACTTTTCTTGACTTTGTCTATACATAAAAGTTCATAGTAATATTCGCCTTTACAACAACACGTTATTTTTACTCATTTTTCAATACATATAAAATTTACGCATTCTACTTGTACTTTTTCATATTGCTGAATAAAATATATTTTAAATTAGAGTACAAATTAAATTTTTTTTAAATGACCGATTTTTTTCAAAATATTATTTTAGCAAAGTTGTCGAATAGCACAAGAACAAGGGATGTTGATGATGCCTTAAGTCTGACATCTTCCAATTACTTGCTAAAACTCTAACCCTCACGCTTCAAGAACTTTCACTGTGAAGATTAATGGTCAGAGGAGCTCCCTCTATATCCTCATGAGCAATGGCGGATCAAGGAATTTAACCTTGTGGGGTTGTAGTGTAAAACATCTAAGCGTGTGCACGCCCAAAAAATTTCAATTTTTTTGTTGAGGTATTTAGGGGTGGTTTGGGAGTGAGGTGCTTAAAAAAAAAACACTCATGAAAAAAAGCTGTGAGGGTTTTAGGTGTTTGGTAAACTGAAAAAAAAAAAGCTTATTTTGGAAGCTGCTGTGAGAATAAGGTGAAATCAAAGAAAAAAGCTGAAGCTGCTATTTGCAGCTTTGGAAAACTGGTTTTTTTTCAAAGCACACGGAGCTACAGTGCTCCTTTAATGAAAAGACCCACTATCAGACTGCTTTTTTTTTCCAAAAGCACTTTTACAAAAAAGTTTACCAAACACTCTGCTGATTTATTTCACAGCCGCTTATTCTCACAGCATAGCCGCTTATTCTCATAGTAGTTTTTTTTCAAAGCACAGCAATACCAAACCAGCCCTTAGTCGAGCACTTAGTGGACATGTTATTACCTTCCTAGTTCTGTACAACAACTTCGAAGGGCTAGCGTCGAGCATCACTTGCAAAGGCCTATTGAATTCTGCCGAAGAGCCATCTCATCAAACAGTTTGTGCGCATTCTCAAGTCCCATGCCAGATGGTCCTCCGGCGACTTTCTTCATATGTTTTCCGACTTCCGTAGGGTCCCGGGACCCAGGAGGATCCCCCTCGAATCTGCCGCTGCTCACGAGTAGAGAGATTCTATGGTGTATTGTCAACTTCTATTCAATTCATTGCTTCCACAAATTATTTGATAAAAAACATCTCGGAATTGGAAGAACAAAAATTTGGAAGACGGCTTGGGTTTCAAAGAAACAGGGAAACATGTGAAACCTACACTCAACTAGTTTAATTTAATTTCATGTACATGTCTATGCAAGAGATAGAAGGAGGGTGATAAATAAATTGTCCGTTACACTCAAGATTTGACCCTCGATCGGCTTGAGTTTACCAAGGTGAAAATATATTACTATATTAGTAACCTTAACATCTAACAAGCTCAACAGTTTCGCACTCCAATCCTTCTTTCCTTTACTTTATGGTAAGTTCTAACTTCTAACTTCGAGCAATAAAATGAAGCACCATTTACTGCAACAAGCAACATAACCAGAGGCTTAGATCGCTCCAAAAAGGGGTCCAAAAACAAAGCACCACTTGCTGCAACAAGAAAAAGTGAGAGACCAAGCGCATACGATGATACAAGTTGCGAGAAATAAGAACATAAAATTGCATCCTAGGAGGATTGAACTCGCACTGTTTTGATGCATTGTCGTCCTCTGAAATTATTAGACAGAACCTGAGACGCTTTGACAATATTGATTATCTTCGCTAAACAGATAGATTACCCGTAAAAGTTGAAATTAGAGGGTCTTGCGAATATAAATGGTCGCACTGTTTCCCACATCGTACCCACACCCACTGTCTGCAACTCCAGCCCGATCTGCTGTCGCACGTCCACCAGTCGTCCGATCTATTGTCGCAACTCCACCCGGATTTCGGCTGCTCGCACCTCCACTCGGTTGTGTATATTTTATCCGATTATTTGTTGTATGTGTAAAGGTTTTTATATGATGTACAAAGTGTTCGCCATTTTCTGGTTTTTTTTTTTTTTAATTTTTTTTTTTTTATCTTGTGAATTGAGGAGATGTGCTAACTCGTATTTTCCAAGAAGAACTAACCTCATTGTTGGCCTTAAGTTTCAAAAATCCCACAAAAATCATATAAAAAAAGAACAAGCATTTGCTTGCTCATAGTCAATCATGCACGGACACGTATCTAAGTTTTAATTTTTTAATAAAAAACTTGGACACGTCTCCGTGGGTAATAGGTCATCAGCGGCAACTGCTGATCTTTTCAGTAGCGAAGTTGTATCCATAGAAAAATAGCTCAGGCCAAAAAAAGAACAAAAACACAACCTGACTAGAACCGAGTCGGAGAGAGCGAACCGGACGAAAATAAAGAAGAACTAACCTGATTGTTGGTAAACCAAAAATAATCAGTTAGATCCCAATTTAGAGAGCGAACCGGACCAAACCGGTCCGGCAACGAGTGAGAAATAGTTACACGCATTGGTTAATGGATGGTTGACTGCTTATTTGGATGGTGGATGCGGACATTGAAATTGGAAGTTGGTAGAGAATTCTACCAAGGAATTTTATTATCTTCCTAGGTCCAATTATAGATGGTAGTTAATGCATGTATTGTGGCACTTGTGGGGAAATATTTTTAGTCTATTGAAACACGAGCCGATACACTATTTGTCATAATATATCTAAAATTACTATCATTGACAACATTTATAGAAAGGTTTATCATGTTCCAAATACTTTTTAGGCTTACTAGTCGAAATGCCTACTAAAACTACTATTAATTCTCAGTTTATCCTCTGAAACTGGTTTTGTCTCACTTTGCCCCTTTGAAACTGAAATTTTCAACTTTTTTGTCTCGCTTTACCCACTTCAGTCAATGGATTGTTAAATTTAAGGGTATATTAGACATTACATATTTTTACACATTTATTTACTTCTAGCCTACACATTAAACAAGTCTCAATTTTATTTTTGAAACTCTAATTCAAACACATAAATTTTGGGCATTTTAAAAATAAATTATTCAATCAATAAAAAAACTCTGAACAACAAAGCCAAGTAGAATTTGTTGCCCCACAAGCTAATTCTCAACCACAAGAAGTACAACCATCTTTTGAACAAGCTCATGCCTAGTGGAATCAGTGCTCAATAATGTGATTTTTTTTTTGTTTCAGACTATGTACATTTGCTTTAAATGATTTTTTCAGTTTGAGAAGTATTTTAGATATGATAGCTTAATGATATAATGATTTTGTTGTAACGAATATTTTTCAATTGCAAAGTTTCGAGCCAATTTATGGATGTCTTGCAAGTGAAATGACTCTACAAACAAAATATAACCTTTATTTTGGTTGATACAATGATTTTGTTGCTCGGAATTTTTCTATTGATTGAATAATTTATTTTTAAAGATGCCCAAATTTTATGGGTTTGAATTAGAGTTTCAAAAATAAAATTGAGACTTGTCTAGTGTGTAGGCTAGAAGTAAATAAATGTGGAAAAAAAAGAAATGTCCAAAATACCCTTAAATTTAACAGTCCATTAACGAAAGTGGGTAAAGCGAGACAAAAGAGTTGAAAATGTTAGTTTCAGAGGGTAAAGTGAGACAAAAAGGTTGAAAATATCAGTTTCAGGGGGCAAAGTGAGACAAAATCAGTTTCAGGGGGTAAACTGAGACTCAATAGTAGTTTCAGGGGCATTTCGACTAATAATCCTGTTTTTTAAGCTACTAACACGTGAATCGTCTTTTCAAAGTTAACATTTTTGGATGTACATGTAATTTTCAAAACTATGATGTCATTGGTCTTGGTTCTCTTATGTGATAAATTAGCATGTCCTCCGGTATTTTAATTGTTATGGCTCGATAGTGGCTTCTATTGCCCTCCTTTTGTATGCATGTATGACTTAGTTTTGTTAGCCTCTACTTGTTGGGTTATGTTTTTCCCTGCTTGAGATAACATTGTAGTCCCCATTTGGGGTAGCTTCAATGAATTCATTTTATTGACAAAAAAAATAGAGCCTATAAAGTACTTGTCTTAGTAACTAACTCAAAAAAGAAAATCACCAAAAAAGAAAACTCAAAAATATAAATTGAAGTTGAAATTTTCTTTTAGGATCAAAAGCACATACATAATTGTCAAATAAAAAGCGCATATATAATTGTCAAATAGAAAGCGTATACATAATTGGCCAAATAGAGAACACATACATTGGCTTCTCTTTACAAGTTTATTAAATAACAGCAAATCCAAACCCAACTAAAGATAACATAGGAATTAACTCAAAACAACTTTTTCTTATTCGCATCAAATATTCCCCGTCCAAAAGTTGAAATGAATAACTCAACAAGCAATGGAAATTGCATCTATATGAACGAGGTAACTGGAACACTAGCAAGCAAAATGCTTGGAATAACAATCAATGATTTCCCGTCAAGCATAATGTAAAGGCCACAAGAAAAGACAATCATCATGGTGGCGATAGACAAAAAGAGAGTGAAAAGGCCTATTATCATTTTGGTGGGCAAGGATTTAGAAAAATCATCTTCAGAATAACGGGACGTGAGAATGCCCAAAAACATGATAACCGAAGTTGTTGAAGAAAAGAGCGAGATTGCATCTGAAATTATAAATATTGCGAATACCTTGCTAGTTAAGAATGTACGAACATCTTTCTTTCCATCATTGTCACCGAAAACTGTGAATGTTGCAGCAAACATTATGGTGACAATAAGAGCACCAACAACTGTACAAGAAGTTGTTGTTTCCTTCATTGACTTTTCTGCCTCTTTCCCCAATTCTTTGTGATTCTCCGTAAATACTTTTTATGGTGTCATATCATCTTTGTTTACAGATTCACAATCCTTGGGATTTGCAATGCTCTCCACCTCCTGCATTTTTTGCCACAAAATTATATATGGATGTGACTTTGAAATCTTTATTTCTCCATATAAATCCTAAAACTTTAGTTGGTTGAGACACCATATAACCCAAAATCAATAGTTAAGCTTGTAGGATTATAGTATAGTAGTAGTTAAATAATAATGTTTTCCTTTTTAATTTCAATTTTTCCTGTTATGCTTGTGCATGTCGGCAAACTTTTTGTTTTTATTTTTAATTTTTAAAGAGAATAATTTTTGCATTCTCATTTTTTTCTTTGAAATTGAAGAAATAAAGTAACAAAAATATGTGAAGGAGTAGGAGAAAATAAGAGTAAAATTATAGCTGCAAATATATATAAACAACACAGAGGCACAATCTTTCATAAATATAAGCATGTGTATATAGATAGATACAAAATAGTCACCTTGAACCATTGTAATTCTCTTTGCATTTGCACCTTGAATGTGACCAATTTGTGACATTGGGGTAATACGTGCTACCGTATGTAGCAGATTATTGCCAAAGTCATCTGTCATCCCCACTCTTTTCTGTATTTTGTCGGACTGATCGAGGCCAAGTGTATTTCGAATTTTGGGCAACGGATCAAGGAGATATATAAGATTATAAACTTTGTGTTGACGGCATTCAACGGCAATTTGAAACGGGCTCTGACCTTTTTGGTTCTTAACTCCAAATAAAGGATATGTGTCATTTCCAAGAAAATTAGTAATATACTCTACATGCCCTCGTTCTGCTGCCACACATAGTGCTGCTTCCAATTTCTTTCTTTTATTAAAACTCATACTTTCACTTGTCATACTTTCACTTGCTGCTTTACACATAAGAGGTAGAAGCTGCTTGACCCGCTCATGTATCAATTTCATATGATATATACGATGGATTCCTAGGTTCATTAAAAACAAATGCAAATCATTTTCAAATAATATTGACTATTAATAAAACAATCATTAAAATATCAATTAACGATATGAATGTGTATGTGGCATACCCAAAAGTGTTTGGAGATTCGCCACTAGTCTTCGGAATAAACCAATTCCTGCATTACAAGTCAAATTTGATGGAAAAAAAAAACATTTTATTTACCATAAATGGGTCATTCTTCTTACTCTGTTGGCATACTCACCTATGTGTATTACTTTGCTTTTTTCTGTTTTCTTACAAAAATATTACTTTTATCACATTTCTATATCACATTTGTACCATCTTTTTAATATAGAACAACAAAATTCATATTCTATATTATGAAAAAAAACATCATATTTTGTGCACAAAACATATAATCCGTAGTCAATGAAACTTCAAACTTAATTAATTTTTTAACAATGTAAATGCAAAAAAATATAAAGATATAAATTCATCTTAGAGCATCTCCAAATGAGACGTCAAATTCAAAACGTCAAATTTCAATTTGATGGCTGACTTGGCAATTTGACATATTGTCAATAATTTCCTTCCACCCAATATGCCAAAATTTATTGTTTCATTTATGTTTTCTTTAAACAAAAATATTAAAAGTTGGGCTGTTGATGACTTAAAAATAATAACATAATACTTAAATATGCTAGTATTTAAATGAAGGCAAGTGGAATGCCTTTGGAATTAGCAAATCCTTATTTGACGCTAGAGTCAATTTTGACATCTCCATGTCTATATCAGCTTTGACATCTCAGTTGTAGTAAATGGTACGTTATTTGTTACTGTTATATGTCTATGTGACATTTTTAACATCTCATTTGAAGATTATCTTACCAGTTTTATCGAATCCCCAAAGGGACTAAATTCAACTTACCAGTAAACAATTCAAAATTTGAAAGCAAGTAAAAATTAGAAAACGATTTTTTCTTATTAAAACTAATGAAAATGGCTTGAAAACTTTGAGTTTTAACAATAAGGACAAAATAAATGGTAAAGTGAATAGTACCAGGATTGACTTTTTAGTGTAAAATTATGGTTTTTCGTTAAAGTGAATAATACCGAAAGCTTTTCATTAAAGTTCCTTTTTTTCTTTGGTTTTTCTGTGCGGCAATGCCCCAACTTTTTGTTGAATTTTACCATCAGCTGAAATATATATATATATATATATATATATAAAAGAAGCCTTTAAGGGAAGAGATCTTCAATTTTTTTTTTTATAAAAATGAGGATTATTTGTGGCCAGGGGCGGATCTACTAAGGGACCGGGGTGGTCCCAAAACCACCCGAAAGCTCGCATAAGGGGCTATTGAAACCTCCGAGGACCACCCAAGTTTGGGCTGTGGCAGTGGAGAGTAGCAGCCATGGCTGCCAATGCACTGCTCGTTCTGTTGTAGGACGAGAAAGAAGATGACTTTTTTGTTTTAAAATGACTTGAAATGACTTGGCCAAAACGCACCGTTTTGAGCCAAGCCAATAAAAAAAAATTTAAAAAGCCTTGTCGACTACATTTCATTGTGATTGGACATCCTCTAGACTCCACTTGATGGGCTTTTGTATCATTCCAAAGTCAAAAACAATTTAGAGACTTTAATAAAAGGGAAAAGATTAAATTAAGTGGGATTCGTCAACTTTTCCAACCAGTAATAAACTTTTAACTTCTGCAAAAAAATAAAAATAAACTTTTAACTTACCCTCTTCATCGTTATCCTTCTTGCTTAACCACTGCCTATTGGGTTGTATCTTTCTTGGCATTAGGGATTAGCCTCTAGGTTTGCAAATGTCTTCCAATTTTCATTTTGATGCCAAACCCCTAATTAGGGTTATGCAAGTTTTTCTTGGGGAGCCTGGTTTATTTATTAGTGCATGTTGTAAGAACTTGTCACTCAAGTGATCAACATAGTGTTTATCTATGTATATCTCAAGAGTTTTGATAGTTTTGCATCCACAACAAGAATTATACATTATGTAGTTGTATTCATTTTTTATTTTGGTAGACAAATAAAACGAATTATCCTCCAAATATTCGAGATGAGGTCCAAAGAGCATATATATTGATGGAGCTTATTAGAGCTAAAGATCATGATTTTCCATTCACATTCCAAAAATATTCCAAAACACCGCCTAGGTGCCGCCTGGCCCTCCGCCTAAGAGCCACCTAGGACCGCCTAGCTCTAGACTGATTTTTCAAAACAATTTGCCCAAAATCGGGGCGGGCCTTCACCGCCTAGCGCCAAGCCTTATATTAAAATCTTGGATCCGCCACTGGTTGTGGGGTCCACACCACATCGAATTTTAATGATCCGAACCGTCTATTTTTCAAGTTGTACCTCATAGATCATCCTTGCAAAATATTAGCCAAATCGGAAATATCTAAGGCATCTAATTGGATTCAAAGAAATGAACAAATACTTAGTTATATAAGAAACAATGAAATTTGATCTTGATAATTAAATAGGCAAATAGTTTCAGATTGAATTGAATTTTTGCAAGGATGATCTATGAATCGAGACTAACAAAATAGACGGTTTGGATCGTTGAAATTTGATGTGGAGTGGATCACACACCTAATCACTATTTTTTTTCAAAAAATGGGGATCCCTTTGCATAAAGGACCTGTGTGTGTGTATATTTATTTACTTTTTTTTTATGTTCCTCAGTTGCTACCTTTTTTAACCTTTAAGCTCCTATACTACATGAGATATCTTAGATTTGATTCTTGCCAAAGGCAAATTCGAACCAAATTATTATGGCAAATCCATTGTGAGTTTTAGCCCACTCTCCTCGTGGGCTATCCTCCAGTGTAAGTGCTTTACAAAATAAAAACTTTTAGTTTTGGAATCAATTCTAGATTTCAAATTTTAATTCCTTTTTATGTATGCATGTCAAAGATTGGGGACGAGGAAGGTGAATCAAGGTATTTTCTAACCTAGGCCGAGAAGAATGGAGAGTTGTGGGTGAGATCCGAGAAGACCCTTTTCTATTTCGGTTTTAAGTTGGTTTTGGACAAATTCACTATAATCTACTCATTTTGTTTATGTTTTGTGTTCTAGGTATTTTGCTAAGTCAATGTGACCAACTTAAATTACATGACTCTAGCTTAACATTCTATCTACTGATATCATGAATACAATCGTTTGGAAATATGGAATAAAGATGTGCATATATTTTTGTAGTAGCATGCATTATGGAACAATTAACCATGGCATTAACAAAAACCAAATTGGATTGCAGACATGTAAAATACCTGAGGAAATGAGATGTCTTTGATTCTCTTTTTTGTTTGAGAGATGCATTTGATCACTACGGTCACTTTCAGGAACATTTACTTTAGTAGGAAGATGTTTTATGCGTATACCTATCAAGATAAGAATACAAATTCAATTATTAATTCAATTAAATTTTATGGGACAAAGCGAGAATGCCTTTAAATTTTAGGAGTCGTTGTAGTAAATAAGCCTATAATGTTTATTATTACACTTACACAATATCACAAACCAAACATATAACCCTTAAGTTGGCCCAAAAAAAAAAAAACATATAACCCTTAAGATTGATTACTTTAACCATTCCAGCATTGTTAAACATTCCCAAAGAACTCAACCCTCTAACCAAACATATAACAATGAATTTTCTTAATTAGCTATGGATTGTCACTTAGTAGTACAGTCTAGTGGTATTTCTTGTCATTTGTAAATAAGAGGTGCGAATTCTTAACCAATTTTTTCACCCCGCTCATTAGTGTAAATATATATATATATATATGATGATGATGATGATGATGTGTAATCCTAGTAAGTGTCTAATTCTAATTGTGACTCACAAAATTAGACTTATATCAAGTTTTATCGTAAGAAAAAAAAAATATAATGAGAAAATAAAAAGCAATAATTTACTAACCATAATAGATCAATTTTTCCCATAAACTGAGTCGGCTTCCACTTTTGAATGCAAAACGGTTATTGGCCAATGCTACTAAGGGGATATACCTGTCGATGTCTGTAGCCATAGCCAATTCTGGGTAAAGTTGAATTAAATCCCACGCAATATCTATATATAATAGAAGTATGAAAAAGAACATTGTAAGTATACATACAAAATTTGTAACAAAAAAAAAAAATCACACAACGAAAAATTGTACCAAATCTGTTGTAATAAAAACCGAGAGAAATAAGTTGAGCGGCTTCGACAACTCTTAATGTTTGGGGTGGAGTAAGGGAATAAAGATAACGAGCCATTTTTTCCCCTTTAGGCTTCCATTGGGCCACTACAACGTTGTAGGTATCGTGACACCTTATTAATTTGGGGTTTTTTTTAAGCATGCATTCAGCTACTTCAACCCTTTCTGGATAACAATTTACTAAATGATAAAAAGCTGTGGCACCGGAACAGTCTTGTATTTCCAAGTCTTCCCTTGCCATTAAATCCACCAACTGTTGTATAATGCGCACGATGCAGCTCATGATATTCAGGATTGCATAGTGAAGAACTGTACCATTCTTAAAATGATCATGCTGCACCACAAATGGAATTTTTGCATTCCCTGCCAGCTTGCGATGTTGGCGAAGAAACTTGATCACATTATCCCAATCATTAGACTTCACATATTTGACGAAAGTTTCAGAGATATCCTCGGCATTGCTCTGATCATGTTCTGCATGCCGTGTTTGTTACTTGCTAAATTTCCCATAATCGCATAAAAATAATTAAATACAATGTGAAAACAAATGGGAAAATCTACGGAAAATTTAACAAAATAATCCTACATTGAAAAATAATAAACAATATATAAAAGAGATTACACCCCTAATTAATATTACCGAGGTCTATTGGTGATGTAAGTGGTTTTCCATACTATTACTATTAAATAGAAGGGGTTTTTGAACATTAGTCCATGCAAAAGATTAGAATTATAAAAAAAAAAAAAACTTGGTGCTAGATTACATATTCAATTTAATCCCTTAAAGTGTACTTTTATTAAAATTTATATTCTATTTTTGTTATTTAATGTCTCCACATTAAAATTTTAATTTTTTTAATATGCACATATTTTGTTCCAAAAAAAAATATGCAAATATTAATTCTTTATATATGAACATAAATAAGAAAATATTAAAAGAAATTAGTGACACAATATGTAAATACATAAGTGTACAAAAATGACTATACCGAAATGTTTGTACAGACGTATATATTATGAACCTAAACGTATGTACTGAAATGTATTATATTGAATTAATGCACCTAAATATTAATTCCGAAATGTACGTATCGAAATGTATTATATTGAATTAATGTACTGAAATATACATACCGAAATGTATTATATTGAATTAATGTACCTATATATTTGCATCAATGGATATAAATATATCAAATGAATTAATGTACATAAAAAGAAGATTATACATAAATAAATTAATTTACAGAAATAAAGATCATTAATTATTATTAAATATAATTATATACAAGTATTAATTTGTATAGATATATACCTCCAGTGACAGTGAGAACTTCTTCCAATGCCGGATCTGGTGTAGCACCATGATCGATCGGAGTTGGATACACTTCGCCAACTAACATGTCCTCTGAAAACGAGAATTTTTTTTTATTTTTTTATGTTAAGATGACAGATGTTATCATTCAATTCTTAATTTTCTTTTTCTTTTCCCTTCATATATACAAATGCATATGCGTGTGAAAATAATTACAAAATATTCCTCATCAACTTTTCATGTATGTACGTACGTCTTTCATGTGATGCTCTTTCATGTAATGGTTCATATCGCTTCATATCAATTCAAATTAATATTCAACGAGATTTTATGTTATAGAGCATTATGAAAGAACAAAAATGAATCAAAGTTAGCTGTCTAACACCACTTGAGGAGGGCAAGTGCCATAGTGAAAATCAAGCACCCTTGTGGCCCTCCTTAACCAAATTTGAGGCTTCCTTTTCTCCTCAGAACCCCACCTAACTATTGACAAAAAAAAAAAAACGACATTACTCTATATAAATGCTAAGAACAAGAGAAGAAATCATAGTATGTGTGTTTATATTTTGAAAACAAGGCAATCAACAAGACCCAAGAACGAAAACAAATCAAAGTCCCGATTTGACAAGGAAGAAACTACAATCCAAAATATAAACAATTTTGAAAATATAAGTCTCCAAAATGGTTACAAGATTTGGAAGATGAAAAGAAAAATTAAATCAAATGAGAGAAGTGGAGAGAAATTTATAGAAACTTGAAAGAATCTCATTCTGGCATGAGAAGAGAAATTTGAACAACTACTAACACAAGTAAGAAAATCTTCTCACAAAAGAAAAGGACCAAAGTAAAGTATAAAATCGGGTAAGGCTCCAATGCTATGTATCATTCAATGTTACGGGGTGTTCCATCCATTAGCTTTGATTTCCACAGTTATTTAGATCTTTTATTTTTAATCTCAGCATTTCATTTTCTTTATCTTTCTTTTTTTGGTCTACTTGCACCTTTTTACAAATTTACTTAATCAACACTTATGTAATTCCTACTGATGATTGAATTATTACTTAAGTGTTGATTACCTTCCTATTGGTGACGTATCATTTGGTTGCAAATTTAGTTTAATAATGTTTGGTCTCCCTATCATTATCCTTTCATTTAACATTCCAAACAAACAAATACAGACGGTCGATTGGGGACAATGTTGTAGTGACCTAGAAAATGATCTGGAGTGAATTTGCTCCAACAAGGGAACTATAGTAAACTCTTAAACAGCTACCACATGTACCAAAACTACACACGCCGCCATACTAATCTAACACAAAACGATAGATGCAACAGATTTGTAGCAGTGACCATAAGTCAACACCGAACAGTAAGGCGCAACCTATACCACAAAACGATAGATGCAACACATTTGTATTAGTGACTACAACAAGTCATCACCGAATAACGTGGCCACATAAAGTCATCACGGAGAAGCGATAACAGGCTTGATCCCGAGATCCTCCAAACACCAGGATAGGCACGTGTTGGCCGACACCTGAAGGTGATGAAGTCATACTAACATGCATGAGAACTAGGAAGAAATAGCGAACATAAATAAAACTCGTAGATTTAACTATAATGAATATGCAATTGTGGAACGTGTTCATAGCATACAACTAAACTAGAACATTGAAGAAGAATATTATAAAAATGTACGAACAAAGGAAAAAGTCCTACACCGAGAGGACTCGAAGATATTGATGCAGGAGTGTCTTGACGCCAAGATTGTACACCTCGATTCTAAGTCCTGAGGGGGCGCAAAACAAAACATGAGTGGACCAAGTTTATATATGTAATACTAAAACAGTTATTCTTCAACGTACTAACCCCCAGTTTATGAAAACTCATATAACATAATAAGTAATAGGTTTTTCGAAAACCATAGCATGCCATAAAACCATCATAAAACATATATCATATATAGTATGTTGAGCAGTGGTATCACAATCTCCCGAAGGTCATATATAAATATCTTTCACCTGAAGGCACTACATCGGTTGATGATACCAATACGGACTACCCATTTCAATTGTTGTGCCTTCCCGAAGCCATATATAAATATCTTCTGTTCGAAGGCAATACATTGCTCGGCCGAAGCCATATATAAATATCTTTTGCCCGAAGGCACTACATTGCCTGATCGAAGCCATATATAAGTATCATTCGCCCGTAGACACATAGTATGAATAACCACTAAGTAAGCACATAAAATCATGAACATAATCTTTCCAAAATATATCTCATCGAAGCCCAATAGCTCAAACATCATATCATAAATCATAGGAGCGTTCTAGCTCAAATCATTATAAAAAACCATATTCAATAGTATATAAACATAACTATTTCAAAGAACGTAAATCCGCTAAAGCATGATATTTCATAAAGCGTAAATCTGATTTACTCATAAACATTTCATAAAACGTAGCCATAAGATCATGCTTTTCATGTATGCATTTCTAATAGAAAAATCATGCATTTGGGAAGTGGTCCACTCATAGATACTTCGTCGTTGAAAAGTCGTGCAAACTAGAGAAGACGGAAACGCCACTAACAAGCGCACCTAAGCACATAAAGGAACCAATTAATAAAACTCTTAAAAATGATTAAATTTTGGAAAACGGAGTGCGGATTTGAAATCAGAGCATCGAATTACCCTAAGAGGGGTCCCAAGCAGATTTCATAAAAGTCAACAGGAATATTTCAGAAATATTCTAGAGAATATTCCCTAACAGAATTTCATAGAATATTCCCTACCGAAATATTCCATTGGATCGGGTCGAATCCGGGTCAACAGGTCGGGTTGACCCGGTTCGTCGAAAACCCACCGGAAACTTGATTTTTGGTTTAAAATCTGGGCAATATTCAAAGCTTCGTAACTTTCTTCGTTTCTTAACCATATTCAACCCATAATATATCAAAACGAAGCTAGAAAAGTGTAGAACAAGATTATACCTATTTGGAAGCCTAATGGTTACCGGAGATGGCTGGAAAATGGCCTGAAAGGTGACAAGTCCGTGGGAAAACTAGGGAACTCGCCGAAAATTGGGTAAACTTTAAACGTTCAAACTTCTTCAATACTTAACGAAATTGAGTGATTCAAAAATGAAAATCATACTTCTCGACGAGACGAAGAGAATGGTACCTTTCTGAAAGGCTAACTCGATGCGCTTTGGCCAGAAAATGGCCTGAAAGGTTGCAGCCCGACTTGGGTTTCGATCTCGATGATCCAGAAGGAAGTTCGAGGTAAGGTTGGTTGTTCTGGGCTCGTGAGAGCGTGACAAAGCTCGTGGTGCTCTTGGTTTGGGGGTGGTGGGAGTGTTATCGTTGTTGTGTTTGTGTACTTTTCCGTAGAGGGGAGGTTAGAGAGAGATGAGAGAAATGAGAGAAGAGAGAGATGGGTCCATGGGAAGGAGAATGAGGGAAAATAGAAAAAGAGAGGGAGGACCGGGTGATAAAAACAAAGGAGTGGGCTCCACTAACACACCAAATAAGACCAAAAAGCAATCATTTGAAATAAGTCTCCCAACCAAAGTGAAATTACAAAATTGCCCTTGATGTTTTGTAAAATCCGAGACGGGTCGTTACAAGCGATACCATGTAAAGTTATCGTTGGTAGACGAAACCACATAACTCATCACTCAAGGCGAAAACTACATCCAACCAATGTTGTAGTGCAATCCAACACTTGCTAGGCAAGATACCGAAACTAAACTTAACTACTCCACGAAGAAAATCACTTGTCTGCTCATTCCAATGTAGGACTAGGACACTCTAGCAAAGCTACATGCAATGTCAATGCTCAAGTTCGATCTGCAAATCTACGAACCAAGTTCGAAGACTTCAAAAACATATAAAAATACAAAATTGCTCATCATCATTGAATTTAATAAATAAAAAAAAATAGTTAGAAAATTATATTCCACATGAAGCTGGTGGTAGATTTGTGACAGATGTGATATATATTGGACATATTTGATAAGTGGAGCCTTCTTTGCTCCTCCCATCACGCATACGGCAGGTTTGATTTTCTTTTTTTGAGTAAAAGTAAAAAAATAGTTAGAAAATTATATTCCATATGAAGCTGGTGGTAGATTAGTGACAGATGTGATATATATTAGACATATTTGACAAGTGGAGCCTTCTTTGCTCCTCCCATCACGCATACGGCCGGTTTGATTTTCTTTTTTTGAGTAAAAGCATCTCCAGTGTAGGATTTTGAATAGGCAAACTCATTTTGATGAGCAATGTAAGTCAAAATTAACTTCGATGGTATAGGCAATTGATGCCTACACCTCAAAAGTAGGCAATATTTTCAACCATTGCTAGACAATATTTTCAACCATTGCTAGATTTTCAATATAAGGATTAGACAAAGGTGTGAGACTAAAAAGAGTGTTTAAAATTTCTTTAATTTTTACTAGACTACAAGTAGGCAAATCGGGCCGACAACACTTTTTATGGGTTAAAACCTTTATGGTCACCGTGTATGGTTAAAATCTATTTTAATTACTATGTTTTTATTTAGTCAACATGATCATTGTGTTTTCCAACCTTTACAATTTGAGTCACTTTCTATTGAGAAATATATTCATTTACATATTAAAAATGAATAGAAAAGTACTAATAATTTCTCGAGAACTTCGGAAATTTTGTACAAAGAGTGAGCTCAGGCTAGTAAAAATTGAATGAAAGGGGACACATAAAGCCACCGGTCTCCTTCCTAGAAAGCAAAATGAGAGCTTGCGATTTAGACAAATGACGTATGTGTTCGTATTTCGGGCATATTGAAAAATCTCTCAGAATTAAAACGACCACGACAATAAAAAAGTGAAAAATGTCAAAAGCAGCAAAACTGAAGCAAAGTGTGGAGGGTTAGTTATCTCTGAAGGAACTCACTAACTCGTTATAGCGAACAATGCCACCAAAAGCAAATTCTTTTTGAAGGGTGTTTGGGTTAAAACTTGAACTTTGGGCTCAAAAGAAAGTTGGCCCAACAAGAAGACTAGGAGGAAAGGAGCCCGAAGCTCAGCCAAAGCCCAGAAGGTAGAAAAGGGCTTTTCCCGACTAGGTGCAGATCATTTGAACCACTTGTTCACCTACCTAGAGACCAAGTGGTGTAGACTAGCCAGCTAATCAGCCAAAAAACACTTTACAGTGGCAGTACAAGTAAAAAGCTGATGAGTCATTACCCTTCAAGTGGCATTCGGGAAAGATTAAAGCTACAGGAGGCCAAGCCAAACTGTCTATAAAAGAAGAAAGAGAAATCAGAGATGAGGACACTCAAATAAACAAACAAATACAAGCACAAACTCTGCTCAAGCCAGATTTGCTTTCAACGAAGCTGTAGTCAACCCAAGCCTTCATCCCTTTCGGGATCAACCCTCACCCAAAGCTTTTGTAAAAGCTCTGCTACCTTGTATAAATCTTGCTGTAGTATCAATTTCCTTCTATAAACTCATCCGCTATCCTTTTTTCTAAGCTCTCAAGCCCCTCTATAAATCACAAAGATAGGAAGTTGCAAGACAACCAGTCTTGCCCGACCCTCTTTGTTTTTGTCTTTTCATTCATAAGTCTAGTAATATGTTGTATACTTCCATTTGTATCCAAGTTAGTTCTAGCAAGTAGATGATTAAAAGACTCATCAGTGCTTGAATCCGATTGGAATATGTAGTCACAACTTAAATCAGATCTAAGTTCTAAACCCTCGGGTATGTAAGATTGATCATTCAAAAGTCCTTGGTCTCAAGGCATAAAAAAGAACCTTATGTGGACTTAACTCATCCACGACAGTCTTTGATAACAAGAAGTCCGAAGTTACTTGGGGCGCAAGTAATCGACTTATTTCCTAAGTTTTATTTCTGTTATATTATGATTATCGTAGAACGTTTAAGTATAGAAGTGATTCTGATAGGAAGCCTCAATGCCTACATCTAAGGCCCTACAAAGGCACCTATTTGGATTTATTCCGCTCTTTGGGCTCGGGTAATTAAAAGTATAATAGTCATAACACTTCTGCGATTAATGAAACAAACATTATATGTTCAAGTACTGGGTTAGTTATTGATGGGAAGCCTCAAGGCCTACACCTAAGGCCACACAAAGGCACATTTCATAACTAAAACGGCCTCTCGGGTATATATACAATTAAAACTCAACATCTGTTTTACATCTGTCATGCTAAAGATGGCAGTGGCACGCCTGAACACCTAAAAGTTAATCTTGATTGTGAGCCTCAAGGCCTACACCTAAGGCCCTACAAAGGCACCTTTCAAAGTTAATCATGTCCTTCTCTTTCAGCCTTGCCTGATAAGATTTGCCCGACAAACTCGCCAGTGAGCAGAAGCCCGACAGAAATCAACCGGCGCCAACCTCTCGGGGAGCTGTATGCTCGTCTGCTAGGAAACATCCCCAACGAAAATTCTAGCCACGAACATAGTTTTGGCACGCCCTGTGGAACTTGTTTTTAATCAGATCTTACTTACCAAGGAAACATGTCAAGGAAACCTGAAGATTTAAAAAGAGTGGTTGTTCCAGACAATTTTGATGAAGACTTGCAAACTACCTTGTTACAAATGTTGCAAAGACTGGAGAGCGCCTCCGCAGGCTTCAGAAGGAAAGCAGACATGGTTGTAAGACCAACTATTCCTATATCTTTACCTCAACTTGGGGAAAAAGATAATAGGGAAAGAGAGAGACATAAAACCAACCAGCCAGAAGAAGCAGTGGAGGACAAACATACAGATCCCTTCTCAGAAGCCCTAGTAAATATGATCAGTATGGCATGGGCTGAGAAGAGGAAAGAAAAGGTTATAAGGGAAATAAAAGAAGGAAGACTGGCTGACAAATCCACAAAAACGGTGATCAGATTGACCGAACATCCAAAAGCAGCTATAATCAAAGGGATGGTTCTTTGTAGTAAATGCCAATGCGAGTGTGAGCTCGAAATACCACCAGCAGGAGTCCTCATGAATTATGAGCTGATCAGGAGGAAGGAAGAAGAAGAAAGAAAAGAGGCCCGTGAAAGAACTAGGCGAACTGCAGGAAGAGATACTTCTCGAAGTGTTTTTCAGCGATTAGGAGGCGATTCCCAGCCTAGAGCTTTATTAGAGATATTTCGTAATCATGAAGCTTTTGAGGAGGCAGAAGACAAGGATGCCAAAAAACCAAAAGAGAAGGGTGTAGAACATCTTCAATATGGCCATATGGGAAAAGAAGTCAAGAGAAATTATAGGATAACAAATCCTGTCAAGAAAGATAACCCTGCCCGCCTCGGGCGGAAATGGTACGTGGATGGGAAAAATGGACAGCCGTTAAACAAATGGGAGCCTCCATGGTTAGAAGGGTCCAGAGGCAGCACAAAGCCTACATGAATTCCTTAAAGACCCCCGCGACGTCTGAAGCATCCAAGAATCAAAAGTTTGAAAAAACGTCATCTGGGGGGAGTAGTTAGTTCCGTTGGAGGAGTAAAAAAGAGGTGGAGAGAGCTAATAGTAAAACAAAAGGTGAAGGAAACCATGTACCGCAAAGCCTACACCCTGGGAAATATAGGATCTTAAGGAGAGCTTAAGAAGATATGATCATGATGCCAACTCTCGGATGGAAGACGAAGCCTATTTGTTTTGGAACTGTTTCGCCTGAAAGAAAACCATCTTCTCTATCATCAGTGGATCCTTTCGGTGAAGTTCCATAGCAAACACCATATTCGATCATGAATCAACAGGAGGGGGCACTAGAACCACTATTTCCAGAAGATGCGATGGCCTGGTTAGATGAGTTAATGGAACAGATCGAGAGCAAGAAAGAAGAACTGCCAGAGCCTAGCAATTTTCATATCAACATGGCGTATGTGCTATCCGCCATGTTTGGTGCCGAGCCTAATCAACTTGCCATTATGGAAGGAGACTATGTGACGACAGAGCCAATGATGGCCCATGTCAGTGTTGAGATAGCTGGAGAAAGAGAGTTGGGAAAAGCTGAGTCTTCCGAAGCATCCAAAGATGGTCCTTTAAGGATCTACCCATTAAGCTCTCATTTAGAGCGAAAGCATTTCCAACCTTAGATCAAACTAGCAACGGTGCCCGCGCGTTGTTGCGAGATTGAAAATTATATTTAAGATTATGCAAATTCATTCACTTCATAAGCAATGTTTGAGTCAAGAAATGAGCATTACAAATGCAAAAAACAAAAAAAATAGTGAATGAAAATTTAACTTGACAAAGAGACATCAATGATCTATCCAATTCATCATTCAAGACTTGGTCGAACTGTGATTTGTTCACTCTATCCCTAAACAAAAAAAAACCAAACCAAGTTCAGCAAGAATAATGCACGATCTTTGTGAAACTATATAATGAATGATACAACATTGTTAAACAAACATGGGCTGGAGCTGTTTAATAGGGAAGTGGTTTTCTTTGAGAGTTTGTCAATGTCATCACCCCAATGTTGTACTTGATCATAATACCAAGGTGTTGAAGCTAACATTTCTAATCTAAAAGCCTAGAAATCATAAAGCAAAGAACAAATCTTTTGTCTTGTAAGCAACCATGCCTATATAATCGAATTTTGCTTACCAAGGTGGTCTTACTAATATTATTCATAGAAAAGATAAATGCAAATAAGATGGACCAAAAATCTTTTTTGGATTAGATAAATTAGAGCAGATTAAATAAAACAGACAACGGGAGTGTAAAAATCATTACCTTTTGATCTGTCATATCTGTGATTTATGGAGTGGATGCCAAAGCTGTCAATCGTTGACGATGATGGCATTTTGTTGATTGATTTGTCTAATGTAGCTTGTCCACATCTGCCATCTAAGATGGTAAAAAATTATGGTATAAAATTACGATAAGAATGGCATTACTCTTCGTTTTTTGGTGTCTCACAACTTGCTCCAACTTTAGCCAAAAATCAGTTTTGATTAACTCAAGAAACCGAGCAAGGTAAAGGACTGACCCACCTATGCACGTACACGCGCCCAACAAAGGGGAGAAGCAGGACGATAATTCGCCCTACATGCCAAACGCACAAGGCACTAACAGTGCACAGGCCCACCCACATGGGTTTGTCAACCACACCAACAGCTCTTTGCTCGATCAGACGGGTAGAACAATTAAAACAAATTATTTTGGTTGAGCATATATAGCACCAAGAAGGAGCACGGGCATGATGGTCTATCCCTTCTAGTGCGTTGGTCTTTCCTCGTAATAAAATTAAGCGTGCTGGTGTGTTGTTCGTTCTTTGTAATAAAACTAGGGAGTTTTTAATATTTACCGAAATCTGAATGTTTTGAGGTTAAAATGTTTATAAAATTAAATTAGAATATTCTACATAATTTTTATTTAGAAAAGTTACCTTGAAAATATTTAGTCTATATTCATTCTTTAATAATGTCGAGTTAAAAATTTAATCCAAAAAGATTAGAGCAGAAAAACTATTTCACGGTTAAAACCTAAATTTTATGGTTAAAATACATTGAAAATTTTTGAGTTAAGTAGACACACGTCAAGCAATTAAGGAGGAGACATGGAGGAGAGTCAGGGCTAGTTTGGTATTGCTGTGCTTTGAAAAAAAACTGCTGTGAGAATAAACAGCTGTGCTGTGAGAATAAGCGACTATGAAAAAAATCAGCAAATGTTTGGTAAACTTTTTTGTAAAAGTGCTTTTGAAAAAAAAAAACAGTCTGATAGTGGGTCTTTTCATTAAATGAGCACTGTAGCTCCGTGTGCTTTGAAAAAAAAAAACTAGTTTTCCAAAGCTACAAATAGCAGCTTCAGCTTTTTCCTTTGATTTCAGCTTATTCTCACAGCAGCTTCCAAAATAAGCCTTTTTTTTTTCAGTTTACCAAACACCTAAAACCCTCACAGTTTTTTTTCATAAGTGCTTTTTTTTTAAGCACCTCCAACCAAACCACCCCTCAGTCCCAGTGGTGAGGGTCGGTGTAGGGTGATGAGTAAGAGTAAACTAGATCCAGCTCAAAACCCTCCAATGTAACCAAAAGGTAAAATAAAATAAAATTTCTAAGACAGTAAAATGGGCTTATTTCATCTGAATAAAAGAAGCCCTCCAAATTACGAACAAGGAATATCATACTAGATGAGATCTTCAGGTTTGCTTTCAGACGGCCAGAATGACTTCTTCACTCCAGAGATCATGTTAGAATAGCCCTACCGATCCCTCGTTTGTCCACGCTGACCGATGCATCAGTTCATACTGGAGAAGGAACTTGGGAATCAACAGACTTCAATACCTCTTCACCCATTTCTTTGCATCCTACCAATTTCTGTATAAAGCAAATATCAGCAATCAATGGTCATCAATCAATCATATTAGGAGAAGCTTACACTGAATTATAAGCAACTGTTACTGCACAAATCAATGAGAACTCAAGTTTGATTCAAGAATTTCAACTGAATCTTCTCATAGACCACAACTAGAACAAAGCACATTTATCTCGTACATCGTTTTACTATAAAGACTGGTTTCACTCAGGGAACTATCCCACACCGTAGATTCAATCTAATAGTTCCACCTAATTCAAAGACAATCATACCAAAGAATTTTAACACGAGAAGTACCTTGCTTCCTCGAAGAATTTTTTAAAGGATGCACAAAAATTACGAGAAGGAGATGCTATTTCATGAAGACTTAAGGAGAAGATAGAAAGCAGCTCTCCAAATACTATGCTACATTCATATTCCATAACATGTTTTTGTTTCAACAAAGGAAAGAGCAGTATAATATTTTGTGGCGATCATGTTTCCAAACCCAAGTGAAAGATACAAAAAAGGAGCATGTGAAAAAATAAAAAATGCACATACAGTTCCAGTGGAATATGTCACCAGTCCGAAACCCCCTATTCAAAGTATCTAGAACTGCATCCTCAATTCTCTTGGCAGCCTTTTCTTCACCTAAACCGTACTTCAAAAGCATAGCAGCACTGAGAACTGTCGCTAATGGGTTTGCTTTATCCTGCATGTTAGACCATTATATTCCATAACAAATGGCATTGTACCACCGAAGAGAAATAGTTTGATGTGTAGGCAAACCAACCTGTCCAGCAATATCGGGAGCAGAACCATGTATGGGTTCATAAAGTCCAGGACCCTGTACCAATGGGAATTTTAATATAGTCAGATCAAAAGAATTCAAACTTACCCTTAGAACACCAAAAACAACAGGAAATTCCCATCAGAATAACATTCCTAACACATGTAGAAACTTGACCAGTGACAGACTAAACTTTGCATTACCGATTCCCCAAGACTAGCAGATGGCAGCATCCCAATACTTCCAGTTATCATTGAAGCCTCATCAGATAATATATCGCCAAATATGTTGTTCGTTACAATCGTATCAAACTGCAATTTCATAGGCAAACATCATGATACTAGCAACAATCATTTAGGATGCTTTAAAAAGTTGTTCCTTCCATCCAAAATTTTTATCCTTAGTAGGCCTTAGACAAACCTGTTTCGGATCACGAATAAGCTGCATTGCAGCATTATCAACATACATGTGTGAGAGTTCAACATCAGGATACTCCAAGGCTATTTCCATGATTCTTTTCCTCCAAAACATTGATGCCTGGATATCCATTGAATTAAATATACATTATAAACGTAAAATAGAACTTAAGCAACGCAAAGAAGAAAAGGCAAGAAACACAAATCAACACATGTTGCTGCCATACATGTTTTCTAGCATTTCTTTTCGCAAAGAATAACCGACAGCATTGTGGGAAAATCTAAATTTAGCCAGCACCGTGTTAATGAATCATTAAGACCCTAACACTATTGAACTCAGTGAAATAGATTGGCTAGTAGATCTTGAAAGGCTCAATCTGATTGATTGGATTAATCAATGATGACAACAAAGACATTGTACAAGCATGTGTATCCATCAAACAGTTTTAAAATACCCGACACTTTCCAACATATTATGAGCTGATTATCAGTAGTGCATCCTTAACTCTGATTTGACATTCCGGCAAACCACCACAAATGGTAGAATCATATCATCTCCCTTTAGTTTTCTTTCAGCCAATAGCACGAACTAAACAGGAATTGGACCCACTCACCCTCAAACCCTTGTAAGGAGGAGGTGTAATCAGACCCAAAATATCACACATATATTATTATCCTTGGTACTTGCTGTTTTTAGATTGTCATTAATTTAGCACAAAAAGTTATCAGCTTGTGCCTCTTTTTCTATCACATACAAATATGAGGATATATAAGTATGAAATATTTGGTTCCACTTTAATCAACAACCAAATTAGGGTTACAAAAGGTTAGACTATAAAGGTCAGACATCATATGTTCGTAAAAGCCACGTTAAGCACCCATAAGTTCCTTTTACAAGTGAATGATTTTACTGAAACGGTGCCTAAGGGGCACAACTGGTTAACTCAAGGAAAAAGATGGGCTTGGCTTGTCAAGCCACATGAATGATAAATTAACATGTGTAGAAACCAATGATATCATTTCCAACTATATGTAATACTTATTGTCATCTGTTCGGGAGCAATTAAACAGTCAACTAATGGATCATGCGTTGGGAAGTTGTAAAGCAGAATAGCTAGGCTCATAGCATGTAACGCCATTATAACCAGAAAGAAAATGCTCTATGCCTCTACTGTGGCAAATTCTCAAACAAGTCCTGACAACTTTCCAAATAAGAAAAAAGAAAACAAAAGAAAAAAAGTTCTTCTATTGAAAAGTACCTCCAACACATTTGCCTTGTCAACACTGCAGAGCCTCCCCTTTCGCTTCCGAGCAGTCTCAAATGCAACACGAGCAATTCGATCAATCTGGCAAGAAGATTATTTCATGTTAAATAACCACTTGTATACAGACCTGCAATTATAAAGTTCTGAATACAGTTTATAACAACAGGCCTGAAAATTTTAAAGTTCTGAAACTCACAGAAAGTTCTGAGCGGAATTAAAAAAAAAAAGAAACCTAACAATTTTCAAGTTCCTATTTCAACTATGAAATCATCTAATGGTTGGAACTGGCAAGTAGTCCCAATTCAGTGAAATGCTTGTGAATCCTTCACAGAGCAAAGTCAACACAAACTCACAATGTTGTTGCATATATGATTAACCACTTCCCAAAAGAAATAGAAATAAAAGAAAAGACCATGAGGAGATACCGTTGGATAAATGGTTTTTGGGCGTGCATAAAGAGAAATTATTTGGGTTTATAGGAACCATTTATAGCTGCCAGTATCATCAGAAAAACCAGAACTTAACGCATAACTTTCAGAAAGGAACAAAGGAAACTACCTCATAGGCAGCATACACCTCTGTATTGAAGCCAATCTCCTCGCCATTTTCATTGGTGCCAAAACCCCTAGGCTTTCCAAAATATATACCTATTTCCAGCAAAAACAAGAATGACTTCATTAATTCAAGTGAAAAAACTTAACACGAGCAGGTTCATGAAGTTGGTCACTAGTTTAAATTTGGTACACTAACCTCCAGTGAGCTCTCTTACAACCATAAGGTCAACCCCCTCAGCTACTTCTCTCTTCAAAGTTGAAGCGTCCACTAACTTAAATAGTAATTAACATAAAATGATAAGTTAGAAATATAGAAACAATGGTTTCAAGATAATAAATCAATTATGTGAACTCTATAGTTACTGAGTCGATAACAGATTATACGAAAACAGTTGCAGGCCTCAAATTTGAAATGAAGAAACACTAGTTTTAAGATAATAAATCAAATTTGATATTCACCTGCGGCAAAACAGTTGCAGGCCTCAGATTCGCAAACACTTTAAGACCTTGGCGAAGTTTAAGCAAGCCAGTTTCTGGTTTCAAGTGCTTTTCGTTCTTATCCCATTTGTACCTTCAACACCAACAATCAAATTAAGTAAATTACATTACTTGAAAACGATAATCACTAAGAAATAAAAAGGATTGAGAAGGACAATCACGACCTACCCCCCAATTGCTCCGAGAAGAACTGCATCGGATTGCTTAGCTGACAAAAGGGTCTCATCAGGTAGTGGAACTCCAGTCAAATCCAAGGCAGCTCCACCAATAGGTACTTCTTCATACTTAAACTCAATCCCTAGTTTATGCAAACACATTTAGTTATACAAACACCCAAATGTTATAAAATTATTAATTTCCCAGCAAATCTATTCCATTATACAGCACACGGAGCAGCTCAAAATGTTAAAAATAAACCCTGAGAAAATGTGGGAAAGTAAAAGACTTTTTCTTTTCTATTTTCCCACCATTTCTCGGACCCAAACAAGTGAAATCGAAATAAAATTGACGAAAGGAAAAAAACGAAGCGGGATTAAAAGAAACCATCGATGGAGGCGGCGAGGTTGAGGACGTTCTTGGCGACGGAGATGACTTCGGGGCCAATGCCATCGCCGGGAAGCAAAGTGATGGAGTAGCGTTTAGAGGGTGAGGCTGCGGAGCAACTGATCCTACCCACTTTCGGGGTGTGTTTGGAAATGGGGTTGGGAGAGAGAAAGGAGCTGAAGGGTTTAGCGTTGAGTTGGAGACAAGCAGGAGCGGCAGCCATTATTGTCAAGCTCAAGCTCTGAGTCTCTCTAACTGCGCTTTGTTCCAATTACCAAATCCTATTACTTTTCTGCTTTTACTTCATATTTTGGCTAAATCGCTGTAATTTACCTAAATTTGAACTTTTGCCCCCGTAGGGTATGTTTTTTTTTTTTTTTTGCTAAAATTACATAGTAACCTCTTAGATCTATTACAATCGCATACAATATCTTTAAAACATTTTAAAACATTTTACTTTTATACCTTACGTACTATTTTATTTCAAAATAATACCTCCATTAGATTTTCCATCCATTGTTCCGTTAAGAGCTGACTTGGCTACCACATCTATGCCACATAGCAAAAAAAAAATATTATGAATTTAAAAATAATTAATTTTAAAAAAGTATTTATTTAAAAAAAAAAAAAAACCTAAAACCCATCTTCCTCGACCCACTTCTCCTCCACTTTGTTCACCTCCCCTCCCTTCTCTCTCCCACTCCTTCCTCTTCACCTCCCCTTGACCACCTCCTCTCCTCCACTCTCTTCACCTCCTCTCCCACCCCAACCCCACCTCCCCCGTAACATTCCCCACCCTACCTCCTTCCTAGTTTTCTTCCACAACCAAAACCATCCGGGTCAACCTTGGCTGGGCGACTCTAGGACCCAAACACCCATCCCAAGAATCCCGAGGCTATCCATTGACATTCGATTAGGTCTCCCACCGCTTCTCCGCCACGAAACCCTCGCTCTCAACCTTCTTCATCTTTTGTTTCCACCGTCATTACCTCACATTCCTGCTCAAAATCGATGTTGTCCCCCAAAATGTCCCTGCAATGTCTTTCAAATACCTACCCGCACCCTTCTTCTTTTCCCATTCCAGATCTATCAACTCCTTCATCGTCTTGAACTCCGCATTTGCATTCACATCCAAATCCAAAACATTACCTTCGTCTCCACCTTCATTCTTCTCTTCATCTCTCACTTCGACATCGAACTTTCTCGGCACTCCTTTACGGTTGTCGTCAATGTTGAAGAGCTCAGACCTGGAATGGGGATTGCGGAGGAGGTGGGGGTGGGTGGTGTGGGTGTGTAGATGGGTGCGTGCGTGTGGGTGTACTGTCAGGGAGAGAGTTCGAGGGAGAGATAGAGAGTGAAATAGTGAGATAGAAAAGTGACCTGAGAGAGTAAGAGATTCGAGGGAGACTCGGGAAAGGATTTCTAGGTTTGGGTTTTTTTTTTTAATAGGGTTAATATTATAATATTTTTAATGTATAAATTTTTTTTTTACCATGTGGCAGCCACGTCAGCATTTAACAGACCAATTGATGGAAAATCTAATGGAGATATTATTTTGAAATAAAATAGTACGTGAGGTATGAAAGTGAAATGTTTTAAAGATGTTGTATGGAGTTGTAATAGACCTCAAACATGAGGGGCTATTATGTAATTTACCTTCTTTTTTTTACAAACTATAAGTTAATTTATAGAGGAGTTCGATCATGGAACCTTGGATGCAAGGGCAAATATTCTTAACCAATTAAGTTAGAAGTCAACAGTCAAATAGATTTTAATTTTACAATCAAATAGATTCTAATTCTTACTCATTGTACGTAAACATGTGTTGACCCTAAAAACTACCAAGTCTACGTGGCACGCAGGCCGAGTAATCTATGAGCTAACTACATCCTTCAGTTGAATGCGGGGCGTGCCAACTCGACGGCCGAGCTCGGCCGATGAGTAAATGTGTTGACGTTACGTTGAGCGTGCGGCTGACTTCATCTTGCGATTGCGACCGAGGAAGGAACACGTCTCGGCCTCTTGGGTTCTCGAATCTGAAGACAAGGCTACTATTCTTACAAAGTTCACAAATCGTCGTCGTCGGATTCAGTCACAGTGATGGTATTCGTCAGAGTAAACTCACGCCGAATTGACACCAAAGTGTAAAGGCACAAATACTCAAAGCGGATATAAGTCTTAACAGTAAACGTGGTTCGGCCGTCGAAATGCCGAACTCTGAATCCAACTTAAGAATATCCAATCATAAAATAACTCGGCGTGCAATGTGCCAAGCCCAATGAGTTGTAACACCTCACTTCGCCGAGAAGGGTGATGAGATGACCTCGACCAATAAGGATTCGAAAATCCTTCTCGACCGAGACCTGGATAGACAACCATTCGCCCTCGATGCAATGCTGTTTATGCCAACTAAAGATGCTACGAGATCGGCTGATTCTACGGCGACAGTGTTGTTTATGCCAACTGAAGATATCACTGGTTGCCTTCACAGTACTGTTTATCCAAAATGTAGGTGTGTCGGCGAAAAGAGAAAAGAAAAAATCTCAAGGTTGTTGAGAGAATTTGCGCAGGGCAGTTGTGTGTTTAATTAAAGGGGCTTGAATGTTGCTTGCGACTCTGTATTTATAGCATCCATATTTCCTTGGCACGGCCTGATAACTTGTAGAGTCCCACTACAATTCATACTTCGCGAAACCGAAATTAATCTTCAGATACCAAAGCATATCCTTCAGATAGACTTTCGTGATTTTCTAAACCTCATAAAAACCTATCCAAATAAAAGTCTTCTTATCATCATTGCCTAGCCCACCTAGGCTTGTCATCATTATCCAAGACCATCATTTCCCAAAAATGTCGCATGCATCCTGACCCCATGAGTATTAAATTAATTTTTAATTGTGTTTTACTCAAAAACCCATCTGGATGCATTCCGTATCTTGGTATCCCATTGCTTGCATTAATCCCCTCATAATTTCATCCCATTCATGCACCTTGACCTTTCAAACCTTATCCACCATGCTTCTCCAATTTGATAGCAGGAATCCCAAGTTTACTCGAACTGTCCATGTTTGAAGATATAATGATCGGATAATTAAAAGATAATTACTATGGCAAAAACCATAATATTATCCTTTAACAATAACAAAAATATCTTCATTTTTTTATCGACGGTGTAGAAGTATGCCTACTCAACAACCTTGATTACTCGAACCGATGATGTAAAATTGGGTCCAAACATTGCCCCCCAGTTTCCTTGAGCTTCGGCTCGTAAGCCGAATGGTTAAAGAAACTAAGCATCACAACACTTCATAATTCTTCCGAATAGAATACTTAAAACGCCCATACTTCCGCCGAACGCTAAATGGCACCTCGGCCGGCTCCATTCCACCGACTTGAGATGGTGTTTGGCCAAACACCAGCAGTTTCACCAAATCAAACTAGCTCGTCATACAAATAAAACCACGCCACCTCATTCAGTCGTCTTAAAAACCATTAGATACCTTCGAACTAACTATCGAGCTCGACATATGGTGCGGCCAAGGCCGAGGCCGAGAAGAATTGGGTGTAGAGCCTATATATATATAACCCATTGTATTCGGCCGAACTTTCTTTTATTTGGCCAAAGAATTGTATTCGGCCAAATAATGCTATTAGGAATTCACAGATCACTACATCACCAAACGAAAAGGCTAGCCCACGTGGAAGCCTACCATAATTTCATGAACTTTCCTTTGTCTTTTTCGTATGTGTCTCTCTTTTTGTTTCATGTGATGGGATGTTGTTGATGGGTCATTCTGACATATCTATATACAAGCTTTGCAACCATGCATGCTCCCATAAATTCATTCGACCAAAATTGTCTGCCGAGTACACCATTATTTGACCAAAATTGTCTACCAAGTACACCATCTTGTTGCCCCCTTTATTTTTCAAGTATCGGCCCATAAAGCCGAATGGTTGAGAAAAATAATTTATTCCTTTCGGTTTTTTTTTTTTTTTTTTTTTTTTAAGTCCACACCATCTTGTTTTCCTAAGTCTGCACCATCTTGTTGCCCCCTTTATTTTCTTAAGTATCGGCTTAATTAGCCAAATGATTAAGAAAATAATTTATTCATTTTCTTAATAAAAGAAAACACAAGTGGCCGAAGTAATAAAGAGGAGGAGGCCAACGATGTTTTATTCCAAGCTGAGATCTTTGTATATCAACATAGCCAATCAAATTTTGCATTGAGCCGAATAAAAAATCATCTCCAAATATGCTCGGCTTGACAAAAGATTTTTTAACATCGGCCACCAAATGTGTTGAACAATTAGTATGCCCCCCGGGCATAATAATTTCACCGATTTCGGCTTTTAACTCGAACAACTTAGCCGAACGAGATTTCCCCATATCAGCTTTATCACCAATAATCATGTCAATTGGCGTAATTTCGGTGTCTAAGACCATGTCTCCAATTACCATATCAATTGATGTGGTTTTACGGTCTGAAGCCGTGTATCAGTCTTGTTCGTCATTGGAACACTCATCTGACGAATCATTTTCCAAGTTAATTTGTGACTCAGAAATTTGAACTTTTTCTTCTAGGCCTACCACACTTTCAGTCTTGACCGAGACAACATGTGGCCTATGTGTTTCTTCGGCCGTCTTGGAAATTTCCTGAGGTCGAATTTTGATTGTGGCCGAAACAAAAAATTGCCCCCCGACCTTAGGACTTAACCATTTTTCAAATGGAATTGATCTGTAGTAAGAAATGTAAGGAAAACGTTCTTTATCTAGCCAGACATTAAATCGAGCCCTGTCCTCATTTACCCATTGCTCTTGCAGGGGAACAAGAGCTTTTATTCTCAACATGTAAGCAAATGGTTTTTGCATCTTTCTATGGCCACGAAGAACTTTTTCCACTTTCAAAGATCTTTTACATTCCTCATTGTGTTTTTTTAATTCCTCTAGGAGCTCGTACAATCGGCTACATGAAGCCAGATTGACATCTTGATATATCATATGAACTTCGTAGTTCTAGCACTGGGTCCCACTAGGTGTGCCAAAATGTTGACCCTAAAAACTACCAAGCCTACGTGGCGTGTATGTCGAGTAATCTATGAGCTAACTACGTCATTCGATTGAATGCGGGGCATGCCAACTCGACGACCGAGCTCGGCTGATGAGTAAATGTGTTGACGTTATGTTGAGCGTGCAGCTGACTTCGTCTTGCGATTGCGACCGACGAAGGAACCGTCTCGGCTCTCGAACCTGAAGACAAGGCTATTATTCTTACGAAGTTCACAAATCGTCGTCG